GAAATATGTGATCCAAGCACCCTTTTTTTAGCCTAGGTGTAAAGGAGGAAGTTCCGTGTCTGGGACTATTGCACACAAGGCAAATGCCTGTTTCAGAGGGCTGCTCACATGGGCACATCTCACACTTGCAGCTATTCTATAGTTCCAGGTACAGATCAATAGTTATCTGGAGACAGAAATACGGAGCTCAGCTTTACCAGTGCATACATTGGTGTGTGGTCAGGCCAAACTTCCTCGCACCATCTTTCAATAGAAACTACTTTTCAGTCAGTGACCCTTCACCTAGGATGCTCTGGACTTTTTTAAAGCAACAAGCAACCTTTCTGCCTGAATATCGTCCTGGAGGTCTCTCTGCTGTGAGCTGTGCTGTGTCCCATAACTACTTGAGTCCAGCAGAGACAAGGGAAGCTTTTTGGTGGTGCTGCCCTCCTGTCAGCGTGAAGACACACACAAAGACCCTCAACAGGAATTGCACTGTGTGGGTCACTTGTGATGCTAAGGAGCAAAACGAAAGCAGCCAAACAGGGTGGAGAAATGCAGTACTTGAGGTTGCTAAGGAATAACTAGTTCTTGTCGTATTCCCCCCTGACTTTCAGGGATCAGACTCTCAGCCGAAGACACTTGCAATGCTTTCTGCTAATGGAGATTATTGAGATCTAGGGCCTGTGTTGCCCCACTTCCAATGGGCCAGAAAGGTTTACTTTTAGCAACAAGATCACCTTCCAGGTTAGGTAATTGCCATTTCTGCAAAAGCTTAGCTTTTGTTGGCTCTGAAACTCCCATTTTGTAGCCTAATTTCATGACAGTGCCTTCCCTCACTGAGCACTTATTTGAGCCCTACTCCTAAAGTGGACTGTTTAAGGAAATGCAAAATCTCTGTAGGCCACACTTACATCTGATTTTACACTAATGTTTGTTTGCACAGTGCTGTCAAAAGCTTTTCAGATGAAAGACAATGCCTGATGCTATTTACTATTTTGACTGCCACTATCAGCAGGGATTCGGCACACACTGCGTAGGAGAGAAATGGGAAGAGCTCGTCTAAAATGAGCTTACAGATGAGGTCTTCATTAACAGGAAAATCTACAGCCCTAGCATGAGTTTATTAATGTTTTCCTCACCTTGGTGCCAAGCAGGATTATCTGTACAATTGGCAGATATTATTTCCTGCCCTCTCCCAGCTGGACTTTTATTGTTCTGGAGTAACTTGCTGTAGAAATGTCAGCCAAACAGCCGGGCTGCCCAGCACAGAAAGCCTCCCGGGCACGCTCCTCAGCATCCCACTAAATAAAGGCACAGCTGCACCATCCCATCCAACATATCCCCTCTCTCACAAGCTTCCTTCTTTTTAAAAGCTGTTCAGAACTCATGTCTAAGGCCCGGGAAGCCTTTATGCTTTTGCTACTCTTGCATATTGATTGTACTGCTGCTCTAGGTCCCAGTCAGTTCATTTACACACCCACTCATCCCCAAACAGGGTGCTGGGAGGAGACAGCATCTGTCTCCTCTCCTGCTCCTTCAGTTGCTGTCACTGTCAGCATGATACACAACCAGGGATAACTATGCCCATTTCTCTCCCAGTGCCATATCCCTGCGGGAGGATCACAGCTCCTGATGTGAAGAGAAAGCTCACCCGAACCATAAACACCTTCGAGCACTGGAACATCACCACCAATGATGAGGATGACATTCATGATGAGGCTCTCAACATCACGGAAACCCCCACCGCTGCCACCACCAAGAAAATCATACCGATAAATAAGACGGACACCCGGGTGGTCGGGGGATCAGACAGCATGAAGGGCCAGGTGCCCTGGCAGGTACTGGCTGTTTCTGCCTCTCCCTCATAACCCCAGCAGTCGCTCTGTCTAGGCAGTTCTGAACTCAGGATCTTCTTACTTTGACATACTTGAAACCTGTCTTTGAGGATAGTTTAGCAATAGATCTCAAGTCTACTAGGAATACAGCTTCTTTTTGTACATGGTTTCATGCCACAGCAACAAAACTTGCATGGCTGGAGGCCTACCCTAGAAGTCAGAGTCAAAGCAGTTTCCTCTGGGGATCACAGCTTTGCAAGGAAAAATGCAGCTCATTTTTCAGTGAAGCCACACTGAACGGTTGGGAAATACCATTTAAGTGCAATGTTCTGATTCTGTGCCGTTGCAAACCCTGGCACAGACCGACAGCACTGATGGCAAAGGAAAGTGGCTTACGCAGGGAGGCCCATTTGTGCAGCTCAGCCAAGAGAAGAACCAGAAAGTTAAGCATAAGAAATCAGTCCCCGCAACGAAAGTCAACGTGCACGCTAGCAGCCCACCAAGCCTGGCGAGCACTGGCTGTGCTCACGGAGACCTCCACCTCTCCGGGCACCCCCCAGGACAGCTCTGCTTGCCCAGATGAAGACGCTCAGCCTGCGGGGGATTCGGGCAGAGGGGCTGATGCCTGCTCGCTGGGGTTGGGGCTGCGAGAAGGGTCTCGGAAGCCGGGCAAGGAGCAGCCGGGCAATGCTGCCCCCCAGCCGGGTGCCCGCAGCAGGGATGCGGTGCTGCCCTCCCGCGGCCGGCGCTGCGCTGGAGCTCGGAGCTCCACCAGCCGATGATGCCAGGGCATGGGGGGCACCGGGCAGCTTGCAGGGGACGAGCAGTGCCACGGGGAAGGGGCGAAACGTAAGGGAAATCTGTCTTTCGGACACAGGTCGCCGAGGTGGCTGATCGATTTAATTAGAGAAGTTTCAGCATAAGGGATGTCCTGGCTTGTGCCCGGGGGAGCTAGGTGCTCACGTGGCATGGGTAGTCAGCACCTTGCCCCCAGCTTCACCAGTCAGTAGGTATGGAAGTGAATGGATTTGGGAAACTTCATGTTTTAAGCTGAGGTGTGTGTTTGGGCCATCTGCCCTCCCCCCCAGCCTGGAGCAGGGAGAAGCAGAGCAGGACATCAGCTCGTGTGCAGGACAGCATCGGGCACCTCTGCACAGCACCGAGGTGGGAGCATGGATGCTCCTTGAGGAGCAGCGTGTGGGATACACTAAGGTGGCTGGGACAGCACTGGCTCTGTACAATTTAAATACAACCCACCCTACAGCCAGACCAACCCTGTGCATCTCCCTCTTCTTCCCTGCCAATTCGCATGAACCCCACAGCTGTGGTTTCCCTCTGCTCCCGCAGGTTCATCTGGTGGACAGCAAAGGCTTGGGCTTCTGTGGCGGATCCATCGTCAACGAGAAATGGGTGGTGACAGCAGCACACTGCCTGCAGTCGGGGGACAACATCATGGCCGTGGCAGGTGAGCACTGCAGGTGGCATTGGGACAGCATGGGCAAGGGACAGGCCTCAGCACCAGAACCACAGGCTGCTGGCCTGTCTGGCAACAGCTCAGCCTGACTGCAGAGAGCCAGAGAGAAACTGAGGCTGCCTAGAAGCCCATTAGGCACCAGTGAAGATGCTGCCGATCAGCCAGGGTGGTGTATGTTGGTCTCTGCTGCCCACATGGGACCTCAGCAGGGATTTCTGCTCTTCCCGAGGTCATGCCGAGTTTCCACTCGACTCTCAGAGAACAGTTTAGTGTGGATGGTGTAAGAGTGGCACTAGCAGCCTAACTCCTTGCAAACTGCTTTTGCTCTTAACTCTTTTAGAAGTAAATAGAATTATGGAATAAAGTAGAGAACCCAGGCTGGCATGTGGGCAAGCGTGCTTTTCCAGCAGGCTCTCTGGGGAGTTAGGCAGGAGCAGCGTGACCAGACCGCACAGCAAGGAATGGTACAGCTTTGCAAAACAAATGTATCTTTGCTGGAAAAATGGTATTTCCCTGTGATTCTTGTACCCAGCTGCTACAGGCTGCCTGCTGATAATTCAGTGCAGGGCCTTGGCAAAGTGGTGCAGTGCCATGTTTCACAGCTGTGCCAGAATCGTCTTCCCAAATTGTTTCTCCCCTCTATGAATACCTAGTATAGAAGGCACGCTGATAGAGTTGGTAATAGCTACAGGCAACATTTGCAGGAGGCAGGGAAGTATCTCACTTTCTGTTTAAACACTATCAAATGTATTACTGATAAAAATGAGATTCTACCTGAGCCTTGAAACACAGAGTTCATATCTACATAAATCAACTTATCTTGGGGCTCCATCTGCACCTTCTGCCACATTGGCACAGCTAAGCTCTTGGCTGTGCCTGGCTGTCCTGCAGAGCAGCTCGCCATGGGGCTGAGAACCCCCTGCCCCACACTGACAGGATGAGGTACACAGCTTGTTTTTGCTACCGACTTTCAGGCAGCTCTGCTTGAGAGCTCAGCACAAACCCACAAACATGAGAAAGTACAAAATTCCCAATGCAACAAGAACCATCCCCCAGAAAAGTACGTTTCTGCTAGACAGAGGTTTTGCGTTTGCAGCATCTACATGCAAACAACCTCCCCTTTCCAGCTCGCTCAAGCACGGCACACCCCCCTCTGTTCAGGATCCGCTCCCAGCCAGCCCCCCTCACGCTACCTGCACACCACTCTGCAGCACAGCGGCATCTCCAGGGCAAGGTTTGGGGCAGGCAGCAAGTCAAGAAAGCAAAACACAGTTTTGCAGGGCTTGTTGAATTTGTGTTCACACAATATATGGATAATATCTGAATCATTCACCTCCATTCATGCTAGGTGTTCAGCTTTGTTTGTAGCATCCTGGGAGGCCCAAAAAACAATAGCAGGGGGTGGAAGAAGCATTCCAATCCCTTGTCCTTCTTTGTCGCTACACTGTCATAACTGAAGCATATTTCCAGGTCCCCAGCAATAGTAAGCAGCTGTAGCACACACACAAAAAAAAACAAACCTCTCAAACTCTCCCCCACTTCTGTCTTACACTTACACTCTAGAAACACAGCCTGCAAGGAAGCTGACATTCACACTCTGCTGAAAAAAAAAAAAAAAAAAACCTTCAGAGAGCACAGCAGCAGCACCAGCCGCCAAAACCGCCTTCACCAGGCGACAGCCTCCCCGTGAACACAGAAAGCTGCCTCACCTCTCTCGGCAGGGTCCTCGCTGCTCCTCGCAGGCAGATGCAGCAGACACAGGACACAGCCAGGGCCAGGGGCGCTGCAGATATTGTTTAGAGGCGATCGTATATTCTGGAGATTACAGCAAAGCGTGTGGAAGTACTGCGGCGGGGGTTAAACGCACCCTGCGCCTCTTGGGCTGCAGGAGAAGCCATCCTGCTCGCAGCCCTCGGCATCACCAGGTCGTGGGCAAGGCAGGGACTCAGCTCCAGGCACAGCCCAGCCACCAGCCAGAGCCCCCAGAGCTTCCCTCTCCCTCTACCTGTTGTCACAGGGCTGGGAAGGGATGCAATCAGCTGCTGGCAACTTAATCACGGGAGCCTGAGGCGGCAGCACCCTGCAACCGCCGGCAGCTGAGCCTCGGGCGGCAGCAGGGATGCAGGACACCTGTGGGGGGCATTTGGGGCTGGCTGCTGATGCCATCCCTGAGCCCTGTGCTGCCCTGCCATGGTGCAGGGTGCTCTGTGGGTTTGGAAAAGGGAAGATCAGGCTCCTTTCCACTAATCGGTGATGTTTTTAAACACAGACTTTTAATTCTGGAGGCTTTCCCCTTGGATGCCAGGGCAACACCTGCCTTGCACCCCTGTGGAAGTGCTAAATCCCGAGAACAGCCACGCTGCTACAAACCTCAGCAAAGGCCCCTAGCCCGTCTGTACTGTGAGGTGCTGTGGGTCTCGTAGCCACGGTTGCTACCACATGCAGAAGGGATTTGGTGCTTGCTCAGCCGCTGCGTGTCCAGTGCCACATCCAGCAGCTGTGGGGACCCAGTAGGTGCTGCTGCGTGAGGCCCCCCAGGGCTAGGGTGTACAGAGCTCATCTGCCCTGTGCTAGGCTGGGGTGCTATTGTATCATGACAGCACTGTCACAATGTCAGCTTGGCCAGGGCCTGCACACATCCTGCAGCACCCTCACACTACTGGGGAGACCAGCCCAAGCCCATTTTTCTCTGCAGGTGAATACAACACGAAGGAGGACGACAACACCGAGCAGTGGCGTAAGGTGGTGAAAATTCTCCCACACCCCACGTACAACGCCTCTATCAACAAGCACCACAACGACATCGCCCTGCTGGAGCTGGACCAGCCCCTCACCTTCAACAGCTACGTCACCCCCATCTGCATCGGCAGCCGGGAGTTCACCACCATGCTGCTGAAGCACGGGCAGGGCACGGTGAGCGGCTGGGGCAGCACCTTATACCGTGGCAGGCCCGCTGTCATCCTCCAGGTCCTCACGGTGCCCTTCGTTGACCGGCTGACATGCCTGAAGAGCACCTCCACCTCCATCCAGCAGAACATGTTCTGCGCGGGCTTCTCGGCCGGTGGCAGGGACACCTGCGGAGGGGACAGCGGGGGTCCCCACGCCACCGAGATCGAGGGCACCTGGTTTCTGACGGGGGTCACCAGCTGGGGCGAGGAGTGTGCTAAGCCAGGCAAATACGGCATCTACACCAAGGTTTCCAAGTACGTGAAGTGGATAAAGGAAAACACGAGGCTTACCTAACCCAGGCGACATTCCTGGTGGATGGACTGGTTAGGTGGAGACCGCAGCCATCGCTGCCTGTTTTTCAGAAATCATTGCGTTTTAATAATCATTTCTAAATGAACTAATTTCTGCTCTTTGAAGGCAACAGTTGAGAAAACTCAGTGTAAATGTGGTAACAGGGAAATAAAAAGCCTTTTTAATCACCCATGACTGCATTCCTGAACACACCAACACTGCTGAGGTCAGGTAGATCCCCAAGCCCTGCGTGCCTACAGCTGACACACAGCCTGGGGCTGCAGCACGGGCACCAAGCCCCCCTCCTTTCCCACATCCCTCACCCCTAAAGGGGCTGTCACTGCCTGCCAGTGCCCCCCACGGTCCCACTGCAGCCAGTACCCGGGATGGGACGCAGGGCAAGCCAGTGACGGAGACAGCCTGAGCCAAGGCAGGACTGCAGCAGCCGCCACTTCAGTCTCTTTGCCACCACATCCAGCAAGGAGTTAACCAGATCATCTGCCACTGCTTATTTTAAAATCAAAACACATGTGCGAATGTTATATTTGCTCCAAATAAATTAAATAAAACCAACACTGAGATTTTTTTCTTTTTCAGAATTGTACCAGAGGTGTCTTTGGAACAAACTGCATATTCTCGTATGAATTTATTTAACAACTTTTTAATCTTTAAATATAGATTTAACACATTTTTTACAGGTACATATACAATATAGTTCATTTAAACTTGCAGTCAGAAAATTCCCTACTGTAATTTATAATAACATGTACATGAAGAGCCTAGTTCAACAGCATACTTAAGGTAACATACCATGTCATGTGCAAAGTTTCAAATGTTAAAAATCTCAGACTGTACATTCAGATTTGCAGAACTAATCAATCTCATAAATTAATAAAAGCTTAGATTTAAAACTATGGAAGACAAAAAGATTAAAACCATTTAATATGCAATGTGTGCTATGCTTGAGACAAGTATTTACAGTTGTACGTCAAAATGTGTACTGTTACCACAAGAATTGTTACCACTATAAACAGCCCCCATAACTTCAGAGAATCCTACTTTTCCACCTAACAAGTGCATCATGACCAGCTTTAAAACAGACAGAAATAAACTTCATAAATAAACTTTAAAACCTCTCTGGCTTGATTTCCAGTGGCTGAAGAATACTGGGATCTTTCTAGGTCTTGCAGCGTTGTTCAGCTCAGACTCAGCTGGTCTCGTTTTTGGCGGCGTATGGGGGTTGCCCACAATGCTGACCACCCACACTGCAGAGATGCCCACGGTGGTGTGGCAGCGTGGCAGGGAACCCCCGGGCAGCAACAGCCAGGAAGCAGTTCAACAAGTCCTCTGTACAAAAGTGGTCACCAGAAAAAAACCCAGTATGTTTGAACTTAACAACTTGGTACTGCAGCTAAGAATTCATGGTTCACAAATCAAAGTCAGATCACAAAGGTCCCCCTTCAGTCCGTGGTATAAAACATTTTGTTTTGACAGGACAGAGCAAGTCCACTACCGCATGCATACTATTAACCCTGTTCTCAACATAGTCAGATGCTCTTCGCACACATCTGCTTAAAAGTCAAACCACCTGTACTTATCATCTACAAAAGCAAATCTAGACAAAGAAACACAAAATTAAATTGAGTGTTCAATATTCTTGTTCTTTCCTGAAAATTCAACTGATGCATTACTGTTAAAGATGCTGAAAAGTAGTCTTGTCACAAGAACATCCTTAGTGCAAACATGGACATTTAACTTTGATTTATGGCACGTGTTCCAAAAGTACATACATTAAATGTAAACTTCAACACTTGCTTGATACAGGTTTCAGTTTTGGGACACTTTGGGACCCTAAGCGATTGGCGACAACCCTGAGTTGTCAGTTTGACCTGATCCAAACCTCACTGAAATCAGTGGGACTGACTGCAATGGGCTGGATTCAGACCCTAAGTGCAAAAAAAGGATCTTTAGCATTATTGCATCTTCGCATGTGAGTCAGCCAGATGATGCTCTTACAGAACATTACATTCACATAGCTGAAATAGATATTTATGAAAAATCCATCCATAAAATCAATTAAGCAGGACATACAGCTCTTTGATGGTTTTTGTTTGTTTTTGGTTTACCAAAACTCAACTGTTTGATTTGAAATCAACTTCAGCAGTTGTCAGCTAGTAAGTAGATAAAGCCTTCAACCTGTAGAGGAAATTTCAAGCATCTAAACCAAGTGTCAGGAAACCGTAGTGTACTTCTCTGATGAAACGTGATGGATGCCATGAAAAAACAGCAGGTAAAAATAATAAAATACTGTACTTTCCATAGTGAGAGAAAAAAAAAAAAAAGGAAAAAAAAAAGAGCAGAGAATGGCTTCCTTTATGACTATGAGAAGCTGCTTAGGACCCCGGTCCTTTTCAGTGCAGATGAAGCTGTGGAGCTCTGTGAATGTGATGAATAGTACTGGACAACTCCAACTACTGTGCTATTTCTCTGTAACACTTAGTTGAAAGCTTCCAAGAGCATCAAAATCAGGATGCTACTAGTTCACCCTTAATTCAAGGGGAACTAAACTTTCTTGTGTTACACAGGGCAGCATCTATAAAGTAATGAAGAATGATGTTAATATTAAAGCATCTTATTCCAAGAAATACATTGTTCCCTGTAATCACATAACATTTGTATAACATTAAAAACAGCACACTCCTGTGGTTCTCCCTAAAAGCTGAACGCCCATTACCTTCAATGAGAGCCTTGCCTAAGGCAGGACCACAGGGTTCGACTCGTTTCCATAACCTATCGCTTGATTATCACAGCATGGTCAGAGGTTATCTTCTCTAGACTCCTTATTTTGTCAGGCTCAAAATGGCTTTCTACATAGTTACAAAATAGCTGTTCTATGAAGCTGGCTGGCATCACAAGTTGTGAAAGTAGACCCTGTTTTATGTTTCAAAGGCAAAAAATCAGCATTATCTTTAATGGACCCTGCATAATAATTCTGCTCACATAAAGCCTGCGGCTGCAATAATTAAAGTGCATGAGTAACAGTGCAAACAGCTGTGCTACATCTGCAAAACTACAAGTGGCATTTTAAAGAGAACTTACACAAGACTTGCACTTTTCAGCTAGCATGCTTATGCCAGCTTGCAAGAACTCAAGAGTTCAGCCATGTACAATATTCTGATGAGGCTAATTAAAACCACGTGGCCCAAGACACCAGGGTTGCCTCAAGCTCACCGTAATCAAGAGAATGGTCCCAGTGCCCCAGCCAGCCAGGGCACAGCATGCTTGGAACTCAGTCCTTTGGGTGCTAGAAGTGAGGGAAAGCTTTGCTCTGCTTTGCATGAAGAGCACCCACACACACGCACACACACACACCCAGGGATGCCCTTAAGGCTTGGAAGAGATGATCTGGCAAGTGGGATGTTGAATAAAACTGGAAGAGGGTCTGGCATGTAACACAGGAGCAGGAACCTGGTCAGACCTACAGCACACCACAGAGTGAGAGCATTGCTGCTGCCTGCACCCTCCTTGAAACAAGCGGGCGTGTGCATTTGCCCTGGCAATGGAGCATTCTCCCATCACAGCTCTGAATGCTCCTTCATTTTGGGCTCAAATCAAATTCTGCCATAAAACTTTTTCTGCTGTTTAGAAAGACTTAGAAGTTGCAGCAATATTTATTTTTTATATATAGTCTAATAAGTAGAGGCATTTATCACTGTTTATGTTTTTCACTTGAATCTTTTTATCTTTTTTTTTTTTTGTTTTAATTTGGGCTGCTCTATTTCATGCTCTCTTCTAAAAGAACTGTCTCATGCAACCTTCATGCAGTGAGTGAAAATCAGAAACCTGCCCTTCTCTCTGTCCCGATTTTAAAGGTCAGATGAAAAAGGCTGAAAATTTATTGGCCTCATTTTGCTCTGACGTGAAAATTCTGGAGTGAATAAAACACTTCCTTTGCTTGCATTTGTTTACCACTGCTGAGAGAAAAGAAGAG